TGCTTACAAGTCCTAACAAAAGCAATTTGCCTTTCATAAGACATCCTTCGGCAATTATGGAACTGTGAATGTCGTTGGCATGCCATTGGCGTAATGATGAAACCATTGAGAAATGAACTTGACACTTTGGCCTTCAGATGGCATGACGATTGACCTCATAGAGGCTTTCACATACATGCATACACGTATGTATATACATGCAGTAATATGCCTGTTTACATATGCATGTGCACAAAGAAGTAATAAAATTGATTATACTTCATACAGTGCTTAAGAAAATTGTACGCTGCAGCTAAACCTAAGCTGTCAGTAACCGGTGGAATTTTCATTAATGGTGTTTTGTGGACTTTTCTTGTGGATGGTGGGTCAGCCGAGGGAAACAGCTGAAGTGTGTAGTAAAGTGTTTTCTTTATTTCGAAGAAAAATAAATTTTAACTTTATGCCAAGTTGATTATATATATATATAGCTAGAAAATCATTCGGCAACCTTTAGACGTCGAACCGCTCCTGTGGTTGTTGACGGGCATTCTTTATTGCACAGGGGAGGGTGAGTATGTTTGCAATGTAGTGGTTAGAGTCTAAACCTAAGTGGGATCTTTCATCCGCGGCTGGAGCTAGAAATTAATGATCGGAGCAAGTTGCTACATGGCGAGTCTCAAGAACAAGGCAAAACTGCTTTGCGCGGTAGGTTTAAATTTAATACACAAGAAGCTGCTTGACTCGAGACCTTGGACTGCTCAAAGCCGCAGCTATGCTGCACAGAAACTGCAAAAGTACGCTAGTGAACAAATAACCCAAAGAAGTGGAAATATCTTCACAAGGGAGCTGTACTTAGCCAAGGCTCTCCATATTTTCATCTTCACCTTTTTGCACTTTTTGCACAACCACAGCTCACAGCGCCGTGCAATGGCCCATACGTTCAAACTTCAATTATATGAATGCATTGAGCGATTGGATGAAACAAACAAAATGAGGAGCAAAAGAGTAAAAGGTAGCGTAAACATATGCCACACGTGCTGAAATACCAAGGCAGGTGTATTGGAGGCTACCGACGAAGCTCTTACTGTATTAAGCACATTTCATGCAGTCAAGACTCGCAACCCAACAGCCGACTAACAATCAGGAAACCAGGCCTACATGGTGTGACCAACTCGACGACACAGCAACAAAAGCCCACAAGCCAATCAGCCAAACAGACCGGCAGTCACCGAACCTATTTCGAGGCGCTTCATTGATTTAGTTAGCAAACGAGTATCGTCCGCACGGGTTGCAAGCGTTCCACGTGTGTTTCAGTGGGCTCCGTTGAATGGTGTTAAATATGAAATAAATTTATTAATATTTTTTTTTTTCGAAATTTTGATGAGTTTGAAATATGCGGTTGGCTGCTTTCGTTGGAGATATATTATATTTAAAGTTTTGAAATATTTACATGTGTACAAGTGAACAGTTAAGGTTTCAATTGAATACGCATAAAAGTTAGGCACAATAAACGGCTTAAACGACTAAAGTGACGCGGAAATGTTAGAAAACCGAGCAGGTGAGCCGCTTGAACTGTGATTTAGTGAGCGAGTCCGTGAGTGCGTGAGTTGTGTAGTGAATGCATGACAATGATAAAATACCATATAGTATATCTGATATATATACTCGTATACATACATACATATATGAATACTAAATTGCCTTTATACATATGTATGTATGTACATGCTTACAAGTCCTAACAAAAGCAATTTGCCTTTCATAAGACATCCTTCGGCAATTATGGAACTGTGAATGTCGTTGGCATGCCATTGGCGTAATGATGAAACCATTGAGAAATGAACTTGACACTTTGGCCTTCAGATGGCATGACGATTGACCTCATAGAGGCTTTCACATACATGCATACACGTATGTATATACATGCAGTAATATGCCTGGTTACATATGCATGTGCACAAAGAAGTAATAAAATTGATTATACTTCATACAGTGGTTAAGAAAATTGTACGCTGCAGCTAAACCTAAGCTGTCAGTAACCGGTGGAATTTTCATTAATGGTGTTTTGTGGACTTTTCTTGTGGATGGTGGGTCAGCCGAGGGAAACAGCTGAAGTGTGTAGTAAAGTGTTTTCTTTATTTCGAAGAAAAATAAATTTTAACTTTATGCCAAGTTGATTATATATATATATAGAAAAATCATAATTCATTCATTCTGCAACCACAACGCAGCCTCAAAAACATTCCCCCAGAGCAGTTTTTTGAGGAATGCTGCGCTGGAGACAGTCCTCGGCCGAATAAAAATCCGAGTCTTTCGTTATAAGCACCCGAGTGTCGTGGGAACTTTTTAATTTTAGTTGCCTCTTAGCACAGGCATGCCTTACTGTGGGAAAATGCTTCAATCCCTACCCTCTTATAACTTCAACGGTATGAATGAACATTTTACGGTTTTTTTTTTAAAATTCATAAATTACAATAATGATTATATTAGAAAACTTCCAACGACAATTCTAGACTCAGAACAGAATAAAATTCTTCAATTGAAGTTCATAGACAATCACCAAGAAGACCGGACAGGTGATTTTTGCTAAAATGAACGTCGAAACTCGGCTACCTACATTAATTCTTTCGTATTGGATTTCTTTACTTTCTCAAAAATCTTTTAGTCTATTCATCTAATATAAGCCTTGGAATGTTGCGGGTACCGCTAAAGATCTTACAAGTCGTTAAAACACATACGCTGAGAAGTATCGGACTTAACAGATAGACGACGCTGGTATTATAGCATTCCACGCCTCTTCGATTGGTACTAACCTTCAAAACGAAGTAGTGGCTTGAAGGGTACCATAAGGACTCCGCTCGATATGAGCAACAATTGAACGTAGGGCAACATAGTTGCATAGACACAAATGATGCAGTACCTAGAAGACGTCCAAATGAGGTCGGAATATCAGGAAAAGTCCACAAAAGCAGTGTTCGGAAAGTGAAGTTGGTGGAGTTGGCTAGCATCAGAAGAACACGTTGGCTTTATATATTGGATGAAAGCTTAGCTGTGTCACAAATCAGATTGTTTACATCGATAAGTGGTAATGGATGAAACATGGATCAATTACTTCACTTCGAAATCAAATTCGATAGTCACCTGAGTCGACAGCAACTGCTAAACCTTGTTCAAACTGCCCGATGTCGTAATAATCGTCTGAAAAGTTTATGGCCACGGCATTATGGGATACACGTGTTGTAATATTCATCGATCATCTTAGAAATGAAAATTCCATCCATATTTAAGGTTATATAGCATTATGGGAGGCTTAGAAGGATCAAGTTGCGAGCGATCAGTCTGTTGACTCGTTTTCGCAATCTTTCGAGACTTGATTTACGGTTTGACCGAAGGAAGAAATTCTTTTTGGACGAATCCACGTCTAACAAAAAAGGCAATAATCTTCGTTTTCAACTTCGACTTGCTCATGTGAGATTTTTTTCGGGCGGCGGGCGTGCGGATACAACCATAGTGAACTTTGGCGTTTGGTTTGATTGAAAAAACTAGCTCTCAACGCCTGTAGAAACTCGAGCAATTTGACGCAAAATTTTATCCCGACGTGTTGCTCTTGATTTCGTTTTTCCATTTTCTTGACGAGCACAACGAACGAGCACACGTTTACTCAGCACGACACAGCAGGCGAACTAAACACTTTAAAGCGATGAAAAATATAGCAATGGAGTGGAGAAGTATGCCGGGAAAAGGGAAAGGTGGAAATTTCAAGGTCACAGGGTTACCACAAAAGCGTTAATATAATCAGTCTCATTACTTTATTGTCAAACCTTGTATATGTAATATTGGGAAGACTTATAACACAGGTTGTTAATTGGGCAGTGCACTCTCACTCAGACTGCAATCGTCGGTCATGCTTTCGTCAGTTCTTCCTTACTATATTTGAATAGCTGATAAGTTTCGTAAGCTGGTAAGCTGCCATCGCTTAGTTTGTCTTCAGGCGAACAATTGTTATTCGAACTTCCACACAGTCGAGATTTGGAGTATCAGTTCCATGGTCATCAGTTGGGTAATTGACTACGCACACCGATCTTGAAACCCTTTGTAAGTTGTCACAGCTTCATTCCTACATTCCATTCGTCAATTGCTGAACTTATGGAACAACAGAAACTTAAGTGATCAGTTTTTCGAGTCACTGTGCGATAAATATGCTCATACGTACGTCTGAAAACGTAAATAAATCTACATACAGCGGTACATTTTCGTGTCCTTCAACGACATTTGCCTTGCCGGTTTTTCACGTGTCTCGTGCTTTTTTTTATTTACTTTTATTATGAGAGCTCTTTTTTTTTGCTGCTTCGGTTATCCTTTTGTAGAGTTGTAGAGGTCTGTCGATAATCGTTTTCCGATACGGCAACGAATTTACAATCAAACACACGTTTGCCTGTATGTTTGTATGTCATTGTTTCAAACAAAAAATGAAGTACCACAACGAGCGAGGCAAGGTAGTACATAAATGATGAGCTTAAATAAATAATTTGGTGGCCTACCAGTTAAGAGCAGCTACTGCCGGCTCAACGGTGTCGTGGGAACTTGACAATATTTTGGTTTTCGAGTACAATTGTACTGAAGTCGTACCTTGATGGTATACTTTTTAAATAATTCATTCGTATGCTTGTGTGTGTTTACCCTACATTTTTGGGTTTCATGCCCACACATTGCAACCGTTTCCATGCTACCGCTGTCAGAATTAAGCTGCTAGCTTTTTGCTGACATTTTCATGTTTCAAAATCATTGAGTATTTTTTTTGTTTTTTGTTTTTTTTTTTTTTTGCTCGTTCTGAAAAATAATCGATATTTGAAGCAAAACAAATGTTTGGCCAAATTTGCATAACGGAGAACATATGAAAATGCATTATCGAATGCAACGGTATTAGGTTTACTGCAGCCTTAATGCAGTCAAATATATGTATTTACTAACATCGCTGTGTAAGCGTGTGCCTAACAAATTGTTTTATTTTCCACTTGCAGGCGACAAGAGTCCATGTACCAGATGACGGGCCTCTACTCGGAGACAAACACCAGCGGCGATGACAGTAGCGTCGACGCTGTCACAAACGACTCGCACGCCAACAACATGGCCGAACTGGACAATTGCAATGCCAACGCGGCGCCCGGTATCAATAGCAACGTTTCAACGCGTGCCGCCTGCAATTGCCATAGTCAACACTATCATCATCCTTCCACACATCAGCACAATCAGAATTTACATCACCCACAACAACAACAACAACAGCAACAACAGCAGAATAATAGCCAACCAGCATGTTGTAATATCGCCAGTAGTGGTTGCTGCAATGAGATTCTGGCTAAGTGTCATAGCCGCCAGCCGTCGGCGAGTATTGCTGTGGGCACCGGTGGTGGAAATATGAATAGTACAACCGCTGCTGGTATGCTTTACGAATCGGAGTATGATGATGATGACGAAATGCAGTCACGTGATTGTGGTATATTGAATTATCGGCCGCGTCGTATACAAAAATTTGCACGCATCAAGGTTTTCGTCCTGTTACTGTCGATTCTAGTCACACTACAGCAGGCGCTGAGTTCGGGTTATATTAATTCCGTTATAACGACGATTGAGAAACGTTTTGAGATACCATCAAGTTATTCTGGTCTAATAGCGTCTAGTTATGAGATTGGCAATGTGATAACGGTTATATTCGTGAGCTATTTGGGTAGTCGACGTCATATACCGGTGTGGATCGGAATAGGTTTGTATTAGTCATATTCAAATATTTACATATGCGCGTATATGACGGTGTAATATTGGGAATTTTTTAGAGTTTTAATATTAATTATCAAAATCAAGGGTGGGTGAAAAAAAAATGATCTGGATCGGACTCATGCATACAAGTTTTCACAAATAGATTGTTAAGCCAGTTTCTTCTTACTCTTTATTGGAGTAGACACCGTTTACGCGCTTATAGCCGAGTTAACAACAGCACGCCATTCATTCCTTCCTTTCGCTGTCTGGCGCCACTTAGAAGTACAGCCTTAATGTTAAATGTGTTGAAAAAGGCTGTCGGCCGGATAATATCCGGTGCGTAGAACCGGCTGTCGTGAGAGTTGCTAAATCACCACCTAATGCTGACAAAGAACTCTACTGGCCTTGAGTGACACGCTTAGTACTGGTGCAACTTAGGTCAATATCCAGACCAGCAGGTTAAACTCCTACCTATCCGATATACCCAACGTATGTCCTGCATGTTGCGAGTCTCCGCACTACACTACCTACCTCTTTACAAGTCCCCCTAAAACCAGCACAACTAACCTCCCTCTCACTCTGGCCCGAAATAACTCATTTCCTGGACTTCCCGTTCGATGACCTCGGTAACTTAAACTGACTACTCTGACCCTAAGCGGGGATGGATTAAGCGCTATGTCAACAACAACAACCGAGTACTAAGACGTCGTTCTCTTCCTGTGCTTTCACCAAAGGGAATTGCAACGAAAACTTTCAAAGCTAGAGTGCACTCATCCATTTAGCTCACATGACCAAACCAGTGTAAACGCTACCTCTTGAATAGCTTATCGTTCCATGGGCTGTGGACCGAAAGTTTTCTGCAAAACTTTTCATTCGCCCTTGCCTCTCATTGTTCGTCACGAAAGACAAGAGGGATTCTGCGCTGCATTCCCAGGTTAACTTTGTTGTTGGTGTTAATACTGTTTCCAAGATAGACAAAGTTATCTACGACTTCAAAGTTAGGCCTGTTAATAGTTGGACGTTGGAGCCGAGTAGTGAATGCCTGTTTGTTTGATGACACGTAATAATTTGTCTTGCCCTCAAGGTACTGTTATGTTATGAGAGCGATGATGTCATTATCTCTTTCCCGTTTAGCTCTCCAACTCGTACAATTTTTTTAGCAATAAATTAAAGAAGTTCCACGATAAGGAGGCACCTTGGCTGAAAACTCGTTTGGTATCCAAAAACTTGAAGGGGTTCTTCCCTATCCTGACGGAGCTTTTGGTGTCAGTTTACACAGCCGTACAAGTAGCTCCTTGTATTCAGAGAAATAAAATACGTATAGTAAAATTCTAGTGGGTGTTGCTTAATGGATATCTACATAAATTATGAGAGAGAGGTCACCAACTTTCAATGATTTAATTTGCAATTTATTGTCGCTTCTATACAACATTTACTAAATTTAGGTGATTGTGTATTAGGATGATTCTATAGCACGAATATGTGTAATATGGATACTTCTTCGCTCCTTTCGAGATTCTTTAACAACTATATTCTGAGCGATTACACAAAGGAAAGAAGAAAGGCCTCTCTGAAGCGTCCTACAGCATTCTACCATCATTGAGACGCTTTGGGTTTGTTCGAGTTATTCAATTACTACACAATACTGTGGACTTATTACTCTTCTGGAGCACTGTTGCAGATATTCGGTTGATATTATGATGAATAGGTACACACAAGATAGATAAGGGTCGGCGAGACTGAGACAGACTCCCTCGAATGGTTTTCGGCAATTTCATTGCGTATATGTATGTTCCGAAGCTCAAAATAGCAGTGCAGCACTTGCACTCAAAACTAGGTAGATAAGGGTCGGTTTGACTGAGGTTTTTGCAGTTTGCATGTTGATTCTTTTCAAACAAATGATGGGATTTTATGATTCAGCTTTTACTAAGCTGCCTCCGAAGGTTTTTTTGCCTTAAATACATTCGAATGGATATACATTTCCGGCCGAAGACAATTAGAAATATTAATTTTCTTTATCTTTAGATATTGTTAGAACCAAGACACGAAAACAGGACTCACAAAGCCACTTAAAACTTTATATATTTTCAACATTCTTTTGACGATTTTTTTGTAGTTAGAGTCTTTATTATTACCCTAAAGATTCCTATAACCTCTTTCAAGACCTGCCCTTTGAAAATCCGTCACGACCATAAACTCTCTATTACCTAATTCAACGAAAAATCTTTCCGTAAACTTTACCTCTTAAAGGCCTAAAAACTTTTATATAAAAAATTTCAAGCAAATTCTATCTCTCGGCAAAAAATTTACTTTGAAAAAGATTCAGATCCCTTTCCCGGAAATTGAGAAACAAAAATCAAATTTAAAAATCTTCAAAGAACAAAAAATGGTTCACAGTGGTTCAAATACTATTTTGGTCACAAGTAGTGCAAGTGGGTGAAATGGGATCAAGTTCATGCTTACCATCCATATAACGGTAATAACTGAAAAAAATTTAAGGCGGTTATGGCATCACCCACTTTGGATCAAAATTTAATATCAGAAATCAGTAAAATTTTACACTTACTTATAATTCCTATGATCGGACAGATTTTTTACTTTCCAAACCTTGCTTGACTTAAGATGGAGTATTAAAATATAAGTCAACAGTACTTATTAAGTCCAAAAAGAGGCAGAAGATATGGCGATGCCTACTTTTCTTTGACAATCTGCCGAATATTACTATCGAATGTCTCTGTTATACCGGTCAATATTGCTATATATCTTAGATTCCACGATCTCGTAATACGATAGAGTCGGAGGATGAGAGCTTGAAGTGGATACATAGTTGACTTGCTTCAATCCTCTTCCATGTCTATTAGAAACTGAATTTACTGCTAAGACCCATAAGAAAAGAGAGATATTCCGGAACGGTTTAAAGAGATCCCTTTCAGTATTGTTTGTTCCCTGCTTTATACCAATTCAAAGATTGCATTGGTCAATCTACAAATTAAGGAACGTTTTCCGTTTAACGATGATAAAATCTGATTTTAGCATAAAGTAAATTAAACCCTCTGGTACGTGCTGATAATACGACATTGTGGAATCGCTGAGTTCTTCACTCGTTCATAGGCGACGTCAGGAGGTCTCCTGTCACGGCACCCAGTTCGGTGCTCTGACAAGCGTACAGCTTCTTCATCTGCGCCTCACGACTACCTGGTGCTCAATTGATGAGGCCTAATTTATATTCAGCCAACCGATTGCTTAGTAGAGTACGAGCAACACTTTCCTGTCTTTCTCTAGCTAACTCTCTTATGCTGCGGATTTAGTTGTGACTTTGCGTTTACGTCGGTATTACTGACATGCAGGCTGTCGAATGTGACTCCCAGTAAATTGGGGTAGTTTATTCTTGAAAAGAATGCAGTGAAGAGCTGGGCAAGGTCGGAGAGATAGTAGCTTATCTTCGAACAAAAGCTATCCGTATCCCGGCCATATATCAATAACGAGCATTTTAGTTCGAGGAAGCCCTTCAAGTGGTAGAAGGAGTTTCAAAATTTGTAAATGACACTTCTCTGTATACATATCGTCCTGTAGAATCTCAACCAATCGCAAAAATATATCAGCCTTCAAAGTGAGATCTGGCATAGTAGTGTGGAATGGAGAGTGATCTCGTTAGGAATATATAAATGCGAAAATTGTAATGCGACTTTAGAAATACATAATGAATAAGACAGTTTTGATGACTCATGAAAAAATAATGAAATGTTTCTTTTATTATTTCTCCCACAGGTGCCGCCATCATGGGTGTCGGTTCTCTTGTTTTCATGGTGCCTCATTTCACCGGTGAACCGAATCCCGGTGTTACCATTATGAATGATACAAGTGACAATATTTGCCGCAGTGCGTTAGTACGTGATCAAGATATGGATTTAGGTAGACTATCAAGTGGTCTTTCCAATCCACCATTGGCGCCGCATACTTTACGCGAAGACAATTGTCTTGAAGGCAAGTTGTCTACCTTCGGTCCGGTGTTACTCTTTGTCATTGCACAGTTGTTACTCGGTTGCGGTGGTAGTCCACTGTTTACGCTCGGCACCACTTATGTGGACGATCATGTGAAGACGGAAAGTTCATCAATGTACATTGGTTGTATGTATAGTATGGCTGCTTTTGGACCGGTGCTAGGATTTCTACTTGGTGCATACTTACTATCATTTCACATGGATTCACTTTCTTCCACAATCATATCGATAAGTATGTGTGAAACGGAGAGGCTGAGAGCGTAGTTATATTAATGGACTTTGTTTTTAGATCCCGGTGATCGTCGCTGGGTCGGCATGTGGTGGGGCGGCTTCTTGCTATGTGGCGTGCTACTGCTCATCGTAGCAGTGCCTTTCTTCTCATTCCCAAAGGTATGTGTATATAAAATACAATATATGTAGTGATTTGTATGAAATTTTTCTTCTTCCTCAAGGTTCTCACTAGTGAAAAGAAGAAGATACGGAAAAGCTCGGTAATACAACCAGCAGTGCCTAACAATTCAAATAGTCTTCCACGTGGCACTGATCCTACGGGCAAAATGAAAAAGGAAATAGTCGCTGTGAATGCGAAAGAAGATGATGAGCCGCGCGTCGATACCGGCTATGGCAAGGATATAAAAGGTGAGCTTGCGCCAGCTGCGTGTAAAAAATATGTGGACTCACTCACACATTTCTGCTTCCAGATATACCACAATCAATGTTACGTCTTGTCACGAATCCCGTGTACATTGTCACTTGCCTGGGCGCTTGCATGGAGCTGTGGATTGTTTCTGGTTTTGTAGTATTCTTACCAAAGTATTTGGAGACCCAATTCAGTTTGGGCAAAAGTCAAGCCAGCGTCTTTACTGGCTCTATTGCCGTGCCCGGTGCGTGTATTGGCATATTCATTGGTGGCTGTATATTGAAACGTTTCCAGCTGAAGCCCAAGGGTGCTGTACAGTTTGTTATCATCTCGAATGCCATTTGTCTTGGGCTATACGCAATGCTGTTTTTCCTCGGCTGCGATAATCTGAAAATGGCCGGCACCACTATACCGTACTACCGTAGCGCCAAGCATGGTGTTATTGAACCATTCCAAGTAAACCTTACGGCTGCCTGCAATTTCGGCTGTGAATGCTTAACCAGCGATGTGGAGCCGGTGTGTGGTAATAATGGCTTGACATACTTCAGTCCGTGTCATGCCGGTTGCACAGCCTTCTCATCCACATCGAACTATACAAATTGCGCATGTGCGTAGTTAATATATATATGTAATTTTTCAAAAACTATTTTTATCAATTATTTTTCCCTTCGCAGGTGTTCACTCGAATATATCGAGCAGTATTTATATGGGCGCTGGCGGCAGTCAAGCTCAAGCTTTAAATGCTAACGAAGATTTTGCTGAAGTCACTGTGGTTCCTGTTGCAACTGCCGGCCCATGCGCCACACCATGTCGCACAATCTATCCATTCCTTATACTACTATTTTTCATGACTTTCATTGTGGCTTCGACTCAAATGCCGCTGTTGATGATTGTTTTGCGTTCGGTGTCGGAGGAGGAGCGTTCATTTGCTCTGGGCATGCAATTTGTTATATTTCGTTTATTCGGCTATATACCAGCGCCCATACTCTTTGGCAATCTCATCGATTCTACGTGTTTGCTGTGGAAGTCTACGTGTGGCGAAAAGGGCGGCCGATGTTTGATCTATGATATTGAGAAATTTAGATACAAGTAAGTTAGAATTATAGCACAAACATATATTCAATTCCAGGCAAGCCAACGCTGTGGACCGTAACCCGCAGATAATAAATATTCCTCCATATTTTTCGAGTATACCATGAGTCCAAGAATGTGAGTAAATATTAAACAGTCTCACAGAAACACACGTTGAAGCAGTGTGACTTTGTCCACTTCAGACTTTACACTCCCAATCTTTCTGCTTGTAGTCAATCAGTTGTCTAAAGGTTCCTATTTCTTTCTCTTTCGTGGCACCTTTTCTGTTCCAATTTCGGCCAATTTTGTTTAAATTTACTGCAAGTTGCAGGCCAATGGGCATACCAATTAGCGGAACGAATTTTTTGAACGTGCTTTGCCTGGCGAATTCGTCTGTTTTATAGCTTTTCTCTATGTAATCCTAGAGCCAAGTGGAAAATAGGCTGTTTAGTTATCTTCTGTAGAGATCGGCGATAGTACAGAATAATTTTTTAGTTCGTTTTATACGAGTAAAGCTACTCATAGTCTAATTATCCCTAAAATAAACATATCAGTTCCCTTGTAATCTGCAGTCTTCAAAATAGCATAGAGTTCGGGGTGCAATTTACTACACAATAATCCATTGACCTGAAATATAGCTCGAGGGGTGGGCTGAGAAAGTACTATCGCCAAATATTCCATCTAGCTGCACTTCACTCGAACTATGGTATCGGTATTCTAAGGGCTTTCGTCGTACAGTTGTTACTTGAAAGAAAAACTAAGTTGCGACGATCTGTGATAACTTTCAAAAACTTTTTAGTGGTCCAAATCGCTAATTACTCTACTGATTGAACTCTCTTAGAACAAGAGTGTCAAGCTCTGCATTCGGATAACCCGAAGAGTCCGAAAAGTCCGAAAATGTTGAGGATTGTATTGAAGATTTGACGCTGGCCTTCATACAATGTATCTATACCATATAAGATTATTGCTCTTACAAGAGATGCACTCGTGACAAATCTTTGTACTTCCAGGATCCATTTCTTATAATTTGCGCACATTGAATATAAATTTCAACCAAGAACACATGGACCATTATTATCAATGATTTTTTTCAATTTTTCGAGTGGCTTTATAATTAAATGAATGTAGATTTTTTGTAGCTTATCGGCGTAGATCTTGGCTAAATGAAGTTCAACGGCTCTTCGGTTAGCCAAGAGGGCGCCGTCAAAAGAGTTTTGAAGAGACCGATAGTTAGACTGTGCAATAACCGGGTAATAGGGTGGGTACATCAAAAAAGTCGTCAGGATATTGGATAATTCCTTCCAATCCCACGGTACGCTCAGCACCACCTTTTTTTGCCATCAAATCAAGTTTTGAAGTAATTTGACGAGAGTCTTCGGTCTTCAACCATGATGTTTTTAGTTTTTTTTCACGCATTCAATCCATTTTTCCTCGCTTGTGATGAGTCGTTTAAAAAATAATTCGATTTTGTTACGCTTCACTGATGGTAGCTCGGTCAATGCTTGTGATACCTAAAGATCTAAACTTTTATAAATGATTCCTTGTATCTTGTAAGTGATGCAATACCTCTGCTATCTACTGACATGCCGGTCTTGCTGCACCAGTTTCAGAATTTTCTCAGCTTTATGAATGACTGACCGACCAGAACGATCGTATAAAGTCATAAAATATAAGATTGCCAGAAGGGGATGAGAGAGCTTACAAAGTTTATACCGATCGGAATCGGATCAGAATGACAAGCTAAGCAAATTTGGTCATGTCTGTCTGTTTGTCTTTTCGTAATCAAACTATCCTGGGGGGTTTTGAGACTTTAGCTATCAAATGTTTCATTAAGATATTTAAGTTTGGTTCGTAAGTACTTCTGTAAAGCATTTGAGAGGTTGACTTTTGGTATCATTCACACATTTATATAAATAAACATGAGTTGAGATGAGTTGATGCGGTTGCTAATCAGATCAGCCAGCGTACTTAGGCCTGAAGGCCCGTTGGGATGCCGCTGTGGGTTCACGATGTGATAATGCTTATATCAGCCATTGCTACGTTAGTCAGGCAGTCAAAGAAGTGATGTCTTGGGTAATTATGTCGTGTGATGCTTGGGGTTGGACAATGACACAGGTAGTACTCGACAGGTTCTACCTCTTCTCCGATCCTGCAGCTTCAACAAAAATCAATGGAAAAGTATCCCATTCCCAGTGTCCAGTTAGTATTACTCTTATTGCATTAATAGTGAATTGGTATTGGCGCGTTAGATCCTTTGCTCTTTTAACGTCCAGCTCAGCTCAAGCTGCCAAGTCACGTTGCAGTTTTTGTCAATAAGCCATCTGGTGGTATTTTGGTAAAATCTAGCTTTAGTCTGAGTTTTGCCGTAGACAACGGTACGCACACAACGTGCGTATAATTTATTGCGCTACCTCATCTGCCATGCTGTTGCTTGGGCCATGGAAAATCATTCAAACTGCAGGACTATATATCTTGCTCTGTCCAACTGATTTTCCAGTTCTGAGAATTTATGTTGAATTATAAAATTAATTTAAATTAATTTCAATTATATAAAGTATTCGGCAGGGCCGCAGACAATTCCAAAACCCTAGACCGTGATTTTTAATGTACAGTGAGAGGGAACACTAAAACATTTTCTTGAATTTCTTTTCAACAAAAGATATATTTGTATTTGCATTTCAGATATGTTGGTCTCTGTGCCACTGTAAAAATTGTAGCTCTAGCTATATTCATTGCGGATTGGTGGTTGGTGAGGCGACGTAAACAATTAGAGAAACTGAAACCTATAAATGCAAATGATCCCATAATCGGTTCCATTATCAGTTTGGATAAATGTAAGTAAAATTTCGAAAAGCACATCACATATGTATGTACATATAATTTTTTATATTTCTATTTAAAGTATTTGAGGAGAAGTTGACTACAAACGATACGAATCCAGCGTACGGCAGCAATGGCGAAATAATACTCACCTCCGACGTATTGCGGCACTCGCGAAATGACTCGCGTACAATACAATTGGAATATGGGTTTGTAACATATATTGAATCCATGAATGTACCTAATAATTTATCTCTCCTTACTCCCCCACATAGCTATGACAAGTGCAATAACGCTATCAACGCCTCCGGCTTATCGACACCGCAAACCAAATCGAAGAAGCACTTCCGCAGCGCATCCTGTGACGTGAAAATGATACGCAGCTTCTCGAAGGATCAAAATATCGCACCGGTTGCTGCCTCAACGGAGGGCGGCACGCATGAACCCATCAAAATCAAAAGCTTAAAACGGTTTCAAACACATTCCCGCAACAATTCTAGTGATTTAAATAGTGATTTCCGACACAAACTCACGCACTCACGCACAAATTCACGCGATGATGCCGGTGCGCTCAACATACGCTACATACAAAATCAGCTCAAACCGCAAGAGGACGAGGAAGAGGACGATGAGCTAACAACTGGTTGTGGTCACTTCGTGAAGAAGCACTCACGTAATCACTCCTACGATCAGATATATATGCCCAATAATATACGCTTCGATGCGGACTTCTTTCGTAACCATCACAACAACAAGAACAAGAATGTAAACGTGCTAAAGAATGTAATGAATAGAGAAGAGCATCGTGTAAAGAATTCGAATGAAACAGAAGCAGCGCTCGGTTCACGTGGACACTCACGCAACAACTCCAAGGACTTGAATATACGAGCAGCGTCGACGGGTAGCAATAATTTAAATGCGACAACGCAAGCGTGCAACGGTGGCGCTGCCAGTTGCGTTGGCGGTGGTGCTGGCGCTGTTGTAGTAGGCGCTGCACATAATGTGGCCGAGGCGGCATTGAATATATTGCGGCATCGGCGCACCAACTCCAAAGACTTAAATTATACGCTCTGCACGAGCAACGAACGCAATGAGCTGGGTGGCACAAGCACGGCTTGCAGCAGTAATGTATCGACTCCAGCGCATGGTTGTGGTGGTGGCGGCGGCGGCGGCCTCAGTGGGGGCAGTGCTGCTGCAGCGGCTTTGCATTTAAAACATGCACATGCGCGCAAAGTCTCTCATCATAAAATCCAAATCGATGATGAGCGCAATGAATTAATCGGATCGACACGCGACGATGAGGAGGACACGACGGCGGATGAAGTGCGTAATGGTGACGCGTCGACGACGTCGCATGCAACAAAACGGAATGATATCGAAGCAATGCGTTAATTAACTAGTTGTTTACTTTTAACGGATATATACATACATACAAATATGGAAACATTGTTAATTAAAAAATGCAAATTTTATAAATTAATACAAACATACATACATATTGATAAAAGGAAAATATGAAAAAAGCAGCTTACAAAGCAAATTTATCTATTAGTTAAATGCACTAAATAAATAAGTACACACGTATACATAAACATGTGTATAATGTCCCATATACATACATACATACAAAAAAATTATTTACTTTTCTTTGAACGTCATTCCACAAAAATAAGTTCTAAATGGAAATATCATTTACCAAAAGCGTACTTAAATTAATTTACCTTTTAAGCAAGATTGAATACGAAAACACATGCTTATGTATATACATATATATTGTTCATACATATATAGGTATTCGTATAGGTACAATATTTCAATTTTAATTTACGATAACAAATTTAATTCGTCAACTTATTTTAGGAGTCGCAAAGCGTATTTTATACAATTTTTACATAAAATATTTATATACATACATACCTCTGTATGTATGTATAAAAAACTCGTTGAGGGAAAATATTTCAGAAATCATATAATGATGAGAAAAATTTATATCTCACAGCTGCGTACCTTTTTTTTGTATAGCTTACATATGCATATTTCAATTTTTTTGTTGTTAGCAGCTACCTTTGACGAAAAAAATGAAAATATGTAGTAATAAATTGATAAAAAGAAATAAAATAATTATTATTCTGTTAAATTTATTTCATATTAAAGCTTACAGCCTATACATGTGTTCGTTTAAAAAAAAACTATTTTATTAGATATAAAAAATTAATATTTAGTAATATAATAACCTAATATAACCTTACAAAATAATAATAATAATAATAATAATAATAATAATAAAAATAATAATAATAATAATAATATAATAATAATAATAATAATATAATAATAATAATAATAAAAATAATAATAATAATAATCACAAAAATAATCAGGGATGTTACAGAAACAGATTGTTGTCGGAATTAGAATTGAAACCTACAAAATTCTTTCGAAGGGGTTACACACTCCGTTTATCGGTTTCATTTTCGAAACAGAATTTGTGTCGATTTTAGGTGTTACAGAAACCGATTTATCGGTTTAAATGTCAGAATTAAATTAAGTATTTCGTTAACAGAATTGTGTGCAAACTTCTTTTCAACCGGAAATTTAGAGCAAATGTAAGTCATAACAATGGATTTTACAATCAGCAATACCTGGAAGACGGTACTTGATGTAAAAATCATCGTTCAATAGTAAAATTATCCAGCTTTGGCAATTCAAACGTTAAATAGCCTGTAGTTCGCGCTAAGGGCATATTTGAGTCTCAAAGACCGTTAATAGAAGCCTTCTGCCAAAGGTTGGCTGTAAATTGGAGCATAGGTGGTATATACAGCCTACCTAACAGGTTTTCAATGACATCCAGCACTATTACAAAGGCTTCTTTGTTAAGACGATATTGGTCTATGAATCCACATACAAACAAATTTTCTATCAGCAAATGTAAAAGTATAATGTAAATCGCACTCACATCGACTCTGGCAGCTCCAGCGCATTGCTCTTATCCCCTACAGTTTTGGATGGTTTCTCCACATCTCTCCATCATCAAAAATGCTATCACTGCCGAAGACAAATTTATTTTTGATAATCTCAAAAAGTGAATTGAATTGTTGGGTTCTTTGCACAAGTGTGATGACAGCTGATTCGAACATCAGTTTTACTTATTTTCGAAAAAAGCAAAATCAAGTCCATTTCAAACAGATATTGATTTTCAATTCCGATAAATAAGGGATTTTGGGTGGGTTTCGATAACACCCCTGAATAATATATAGAAATTAAAAAAAAAATATGATAAAAGTATAATTAAATTAATAATAATAAATTTTCAACAAATCAATTTAGTTTCCCTTAAAAGTTTATTATAATATAATACATATTTTTAATAATTTGAAAGTATTAGGGTTGTTTGAGATAAAAACTTAAAAATAAGCGTAAAAATAAATATCTCATTATATGTGTGTATGTATGCTTATTATAATTTTGCAGGCATTTAATGCAGATATAATATATGTACATCAATACATACATATATATATATATATATATATATATATATATATCTACAACACATATGTGTGTAGAAATATATTTCATGTTTGCTGAATAAAATGAATTTAAGGATTAATATGTATGTATAAAAAAAGAAGAAAACAGATTGTAATTATGTATATACATACATATTTATATATTTACACATACACATAGTTTATATTAATACATATGATCATTTATACACCCATACATACACATTTTAGATTATGAAATATTTGGTATGCTTTATAATGAGTTTTAACACAAATATATGTACACATACATACAATTTATTCATAAATATTTTATATAAAAGGATATACATCTACAATACAACAAAAAGGAAATACATATACATAAATATTTCAAACTAAAAAATTAATAATAGAAAATAGAAAATATGAAGAAATAAATATTTATAATTAATATGGCTGCGTTCATGAGCAATCATTCCCAAATTTTCATAGATCAGCATAATTTTTACTAAAATACAAAATCTCATAATATCCGCCAAAAAAGTTCAATTCGCTAAATTGATTCATTCAACAATAATTCCTTATATATACATAAACAAAGCTCTGCCCTCAATGGCTGACGCATCAACCCACAGCCTGACCCACTGAATCTAGACATATGAAACTTAGACGATGGTGTCTCCGTATGGCGTAGGCATTCGATATGAAAAGAATTTCCAAAAACTGAAACTGTAATTAAATGGTAAATACCTAAAATGACATGGGGAATATTTTTTTCTGTGAGGTGGACCTTGGACCGATCGTAAAAAATCGAAATTTTGGTTCAATGCGCGTCAAACTAGAAATGTAGGTATCTCTTTGTTTAGGTCCTTATGAGGAAACTTTTCGTTCCGCGAAGTGGTATTGATTTATTCGCAAAAATAACAAATTTTGCATTCGAGCTGAATTTTGAAACTCCATACGAACATTTAAAAAATAATGAGAGAAAAAAAAAACTCCATGTGAGGAGCACAAACCTTCTGTGGACACCTCAGAAAAGTCTTGCAAAGAAACACGTTTTCGAGAGATAAGTGTTTTTTAAAATATAAATGTAAAGTAGTGTGTTTTACGGACCACTTAAAAGTGTGATTTCGGCAGTCCAGAAAACTTTTTTAGATAAACAGTAAGGACTCCTTGTGTACTCCTCTATTTGACCTTGACTTTTAAAAAAGCACTCCCGTTTCACTTCATATTTGACGTGCACCGAAAATACTATGGGAGTTCTTTTTGTCTTTTTTTTCAAATTCTTGTAACACTTTTTATATTCATGGACCGGCATGACCTTTAATTGCTTCAGCGATTTCAGGGGTAAAGCTACTCTGAAGGTTGAAAAATAGGCTCGTTCTTTTATTTATTGTAGGAATATGGGAAAAGGATTAAAATTTCTATTTAACCAAAAAAAAAAATTAATAAAATATTCTTTAATTATTATTTTCTTACGAGATGTAGGTGATAAAGTCCATTATTTATTCCATGTTTTTTTTGAAAGACGTCCTTGGGTGGACCGATTCCTTCTAAAGGATGAGACCTTGAACGGAAAGACAAAAAGTTGTATGATCTACAATGCATGGTCTTTGGAACGGACGGATATTTTTACAAATAATTTTTGTGAAAGCAGCACACTTTTTTTCAAAAGATTGATTTTGGCTAAAAAAAACACACTAAATTATTAAAAAAAAAGTTTACATTTAATCGAAAAACAGCTACGTGCTTCCAAATGAATGTATTTGTGAAGCTGCCGAAAATTTCAGATAAGTCGATCAATAGAGTCCGAATAAACTGTCCTCCCAGTTTGAAAAATGTGATTTTGAGAAAAACGCGCTTAAAGTTTTCATGGTACTCAGCGCACGGTTTGAGGGGCCGCAGCAAAATAAGAAGTTCAGCTATTTGATATATATTTTAGAACCCAAAGGTACCCTGAGAGCAAAAAAAATATGCATTGTCCAATATCTTAGAGTGGCTTTACTCCTTCAGCGACTTAAAATAGTCGGACCGATTAGGCGAATACGGTTATTGTTGCACAATGTGAGTAGAAGTTTTGCCGAAAACTCACGAGCAATCAATACGAAGTGCATTATTATGATGCAATAACAATTATACTGCCATTCGGAAGGCTCGGGCTCAAATCCCCGCGCGACCAACATCCAAAAGTTATAGAAAATTAATTTAAATAAAAAATTAAGTAAAATTTTCTAATTGCGGTCGCCCTTCGGCAGGGAATGTCAACCCCTCCGAGTGTGTTTCTGACATGAAATAAAGATCCTCATAAAAAACCATCAGCCGTTCGGAGACGGCTTAGTATAAACTGTAGGTCCCTCCATTTGCTGAAAAAAAACATCAAGACGCCAAAACCACAAATTGGACGAAGAGCTCGACGGAAAATCGCTTCAGCGCTTAAAAAGCGCAAATTATATATTTTATTACATTTAGTCAATCTGAGAATAACATAACATGTATTTTTCACCACGGGAAGAGAACTTGGGACTGATCTATTCGAAAAATATCTTATTTATAATTCGCTTTACTTGAAACTCGGTATATAGGTAGCTCTTTGCTGAAGTTAACAGAAAGATTACACTCCTCTCCGAGAAGTGGATCAGAGGCGGACTTATTCAAAAAATATATGGTTCGATTTACTTGAAATTCGGCACAGAAGTGCTACGGGGACTTGCCTATTCAAAAAGTTGGGCTATTCCTCTCTCCCGGAAGTGGATCACTGACATTGGTGGAACCAAAAATTTTATATTCCCTAGGTATTGAGTAAATAAAGTCATGATAAAAAGATATCCCATTTAATAATTTTTCATACATTCAATGGATATGGGCTACAGCGAAGCGTTGCAGGGTACAGAGGGTATATATATATGTATATATGTATATATCTATATTTATATGTATATATAAAAAAGAATGATTGCTTATGAACACAGACGCCATAGTTTATTGATTTAAAAGTTAATTAAATTAAAATCTTTCAGCTGTACTTTTTTTTTTCCAAATT